ATCATACCGCTCGTGAAGACGCATAATATCGCTTGCAGACTTCAATCGGCTGGAAGTTGCCGACACTACCTTTAGTTTGACTCTGGCTTATATCGTGTCTATCGGCGAGCCGTCTGAGATCGCTCGCAGGCTTATCCCCGACCGTCTGAACTGGTCTGTTCTTTATTCGTAGTTTTTCTTGTATCCGACTGGTCTGCGGCAGATGTTTGTGTGACTGTAACCACTCGACTCGATCGATCGGAAAGCTTGCAAGAACTCTCGCAGACCTCGATCGGCTGGAAGCCGCCGACACTATCTGTAATTGACAGAGGCAAACGTCAGCGGAGCGGGCCGGACGGGACCGGTCGGCGGGGCGGGCGGGCTGTTCCGGGTCCCCTCGCGCGGCGGGGAGGCGCAGTCGTCTGGCAGCGGAGCCCGGGCCGACGGTGTAAACGAACAACTGCACTCTCACACGGAGCCGAGTCTGGGCCATCATAACCAAAGTCTGGAGGAGCGCCCCGGCGACCGAGGTGCCACGCGTGACGGTGCCGCCGCTCTTCTGCGATCGGAACGGCGGGGGAGCTCGGCGCCCCGCGGCCGGTCCGTTCTGCGGCGTCTGGCGGCTCGGCGCTCGCCGTCTCCTCCGCGGGTCCGGCGGCGCCGCCTCCTGGGGGCGGCGACGTGACTGCGGGGGTGTCTCCGGCGGTAGCGCGTCGTTGGCTCCCCGTCAGCTGACGCATGATCCGGAGTGCCGAACTCTTCCCGTGGACGCGGACGTTCGGCCCCGCGCTCCCGGCGTGAACGGCCTCTGGTGTGGAGCGACATGACGGACTCGCGTGCGGTGAGACATCCGTTGAGGCGGTGAGTCAATGCGACTGTGGCGTTTTCCACGGGTTGCGTCACTAGCTGGTCTGAAATTTTTAAGTTTATTTTGGATTCTATAAGGTCCGATTACGTTCTGTGATACAGTGAATCCTTAGAAGTAAAGACTATGAGGGGTGGCTGGACTGCTGGGCTGCGCTTTTGCCGGGCTGCCCGCGCCGCCCAGCCACCGCGCCGTCGCGTTCGGTGCAGGAGGGCGCGAATGTGTGGTGCGGGAGGGTGGGAGTGGGACGTACGGGAGGTGGGGGGCGTTGGGATTGTGGGTTGGAGACGGGGTCTTTGCGTAGTATTTGTATTGCGTCTTGTGTTAAGAGTATATACACTGCTGAATATCAAGATGTGTCGTTGCTGGTACATGCGGCGTTTGCAACGCGTGGTAACAGCCAGTCCGTCAAATCGCATGTTATATCTTTCTGTGTGCTATGACAAGATACACTAAAATCGCTACGCTAAATGTCAATGGATTAAGGTCATCAAATGATCCGTTGAAGCGACGTAAATTGTTTAAATGGCTGAAGTTACATAGGGTTGATATTGTTTTTCTTCAAGAAACGCACTCAGATCCGACAGTAGAAAACATGTGGCAGAAAGAGTGGGGAGGCCGAGCACTGTTCGCACACGGGGACTCGAGGAGCCGCGGTGTAGCTATACTTTTCAACCCTAGTGTCAAAGTCGATGTAACGCGTACAATACGTTGTGATAACGGCCGATTTATCATAGCCTGTGTAAATTTGAATAGGTGCGAGATAGTCTTGGTGTGTTCTTATGGTCCAAACGTTGATAATCCTGCAACATTCACCGAATTGCTGAATAGATGTAATGATATTGAATGCACTGAAATGATCTGAGGTGGAGATTTCAACTTTACTATGCAAGATATTGATAGAATGTCAACAGCTCGTAACGTACGCAACAACAACAAATGCAAGAAAGCTGTAGTGGACTACATGGTCGCAAATAATTTGATTGATATTTGGAGGCATCTTCATCCTTGCAAAAGGGAATTTTCATTCCATCGTTCAAATCCTGCGAGTAAATCGCGCATATATTTTTTCCTCATTAGCAACTCATTCTTACGCCAGTCTAAGGAACCATATGCTAAAATACTTGACGGCTATCTTGCGGACCATAAGCTAGTCCTTTTAGAGTTGGTCATCGAGCAGCCTGAAGTTGGCAAATCGTATTGGAAATTTAACAACGCCCTGCTAGCGGACGAAAATTTTGTTAATGATGCTAAGGAAAACATTAATTTAATACTGCAGGAAAATGTTTGTAACTCTCATAACCTTCGTCTCCAAACGGTGTTGTGTTTTTCGAGGCTGGGTTATTCAGTACTCAGCACGGGCCAGAAGGCAGATAGATTTTGATTTAAGAAGTTTAGAAGCAAAAATTAATGCCGCTAACAATGTCACTGAGGAGCCGGACAGTGCAGAGCTGAACCGGATGATTTCAGAGCGAGATAAGCTATTGGAGAAGGTGACCAGAATCAGCATTGATAGGAATCGAGCCCGGTGGAGGCACTTTGCCGAGCGGGGTACGGCTTACTTCCATGGACTTAATACGCGATATCGGGTTAACCCGCGCCCTGCTGGGGGGGGGTGTTTGAACACCCCCCTTGTGGTTTTTCGCGAATATCTCAAAAACGGCGGCGCGGAGCGCCGCCATTTTTGGTACACCTTATCATACATCAATTCTACACATGTTGTGAAAATTTTAGACCAAGGTCATTCAAGGTCAGGTCACCAGGTCACTTGAAGTGACCTCACCTCATAAAAAGTTTCAATGTCTGTCATAGCTACACCGAGTGACCGATCGCTTTGAAACTTTCAGCGATTGCTAAGAGCAATAGCATGTACAAAATGTATATCTCCGAATTTTGATATCGATGACCTAAGGTCAGGTTCAATTTTGCGACCCTCCCCATTATAAGTCAATGGGAGAAAAATTGAAATGCGCTCTTTGGATGAAAGACATTATAAACACTCCCAAACACCGAATTACAAGTGGTTTAGACACACTGAACATTGAAAATGGTGTCCGTGACCCTTGTTTGTGCCCTGAGGTCATCTTAGGTCACGAATGGTATCTAACAGTTTTTCGCAAATAACTTTTGATAGAGGCATGCTAGAGCGATGAAAACGCCCTTAGATGTGTTCAGCTCGACGATACGGATCGACTGATATGCAACATGACCCTTTCCGGTCCGGTCATGACCTTGACCTGAGGTCAAATTTTCAAGTTGACCTTTCAAGGTCAAGTTATAGTTCATTCGATGCGTCTTGACGAGAGGAACACGACTGCCGGTAAAAGTAAGCTCGCGCAAGGCTTGGGTCAAAAGTTATTGCAGAAAAACGTTTTTCGAAAAAATCGGCTATTTTTGCAGTTTTTGCCCCCTGCAGGCAAAACCGTTGACGTTAGGTCAAATCTGAGAGAATTACTCAGAAAGGGTGTTAATAGGGCTATCGAATGCGCTTTTCCGCGGCGCTGTAGCTCTATTGGTTCCCGAGTTATGCGTTGGCTTCTTGGAAATTGTCTACATTCGACCTGGAAATCGGCGAAATTTTGCCTTCAATGACCTCTGGTGACCTGACCTTTGACCTGACCAAAAAATTGACCGAAGTGATTTCGTCATTATTTTTGACGCTCTTTCGAACGCCGCCTTCCGCGTATCGCTACGTGGCCCAGGAGCCGAGTTACAAGGGGGGGTGTTCAAACACCCCCCCCCAGCAGGGCGTGGAAATCCAGGACCCCCAGCAGGGCGCGGGTTAAAGCACCTTTAAAGTGCATGGCTCTGGTGCACTCCGGGGATGGCAGTTACTCGCAGGAAACTTCCAAAATGCTGCTCGAGTGCAAAACATTTTTTGGTGGTCTATATAATCGAAAAGATCGCATAAACGCTGATAGTTTTCTGGCGAACGTTAATTTACCGTCATTGTCACCGGAACAATGTAAGGAACTAGATGGCGAGCTTTCGTTAGACGAACTTAAAGATGCCCTCTTTTCGATGAAAAGCTCTACTAGTCCAGGTCCTGACGGATTCACTGTGCCCTTTTATAAAGCGTTTTGGACAGAATTGGGAGTTCTTATTCAATCAGCGTTAAATGAAAGTTATGAGCGAGGTTTTTTCGCTGAGGAATTACAGAGGAGTGTCACTATATTGATACATAAGAAAAATAAGGATACAAGATTCGTTGAGAATTTACGACCCATTAGTCTGCTAAATGTTCTATTTAAAATATTCACAAAAACCATTGCGCGGCGTGTCTCGAGGGTAATTGGACGTCTAATAAATGGAGATCAAACAGGATTCATAAAGGGTCGCTATATAGGCGAAAACATTAGATTGGTGCTCGATTTGATTACGTTTGCGGCAGAAAAGGAGAAGGGTGGCATGCTTTTGTTCTGTGATTGGGAGAAAGCATATGATTCTCTAAATTGGGAGTATTTGAAGTTCGTTTTGAAGCGGTTCAACTTCGGGGATAATTTCCTCAGATGGATCGACCTTATTTATCCCAGCCCAGACAACCCTCCTCCGAAGGCTCAGTTGCAGATAAACGGCCAACTGTCTGATCCGTACACAATTCTTAGGGGTCTGAGACAAGGGTGCCCACTTAGTTGCAGTTTATTTCTGTTAAGCATTGAGCCCATGCTACAAAAGATTCGGTCCAATCCGTTGATAGGAGGGTTTCACGTAGATAATACTTGCTTTAAAGTGTCTGCATATGCGGATGACACGTTATTCATATTGGATGGTAAGCCATCTTCTTTGCGTAACACGATACAGTGCTTGGAAGAGTTTAATGCAGTTTCTGGTTTGAAATTAAATAGACACAAGACACAGGCTGCATGGATAGGGCGGTTTGCTAGGAGAAAAGAGGGCATCTGTTCGGAATTAAACTTAGAATGGAAGTTTGATGTTGTTGAATACTTAGGCGTCACAGTAACCCTAGACAAACGTGACATGACTTATCCTATTCAAAGAAAATTGATAACCTTAAAAAGCGGCTGAACCCATGGCTAAGCCATGATTTAACGCCTTTTGGGAAAGTGCATGTATTAAAATCTGAGGCCCTATCACAACTAGTATATCTAATGTCAGTTCTCCCTATGCCCTCACAACAGCTCATTAAGCAGCTGGAAAGAATTATGTTCAGATTTATTTGGGGGAGCACAGAGAAAATAAAACGTTCAACAATGAAAAATTTGAAAAACGAAGGCGGCTTACAGGTTCCAGACATCAGGTCACAGGCGAACAGCTTAAAGATACATTGGGTTAAGAAATTCTTGGACCCAGACTGTACAAGTCCATGGAAGGTATTAATGCACGAAAAGCTTACTATCAGACGAGACATAACGGTATTTCATTGTAACGGCGATAAAAAATGCATCAGTCAAAGGCTGCGCAATGGATTTTGGGAGGAGGTCGCTGATGCCTGGTATAAATTAGCCGATGATTGTACCCCATCAGGTCGGCAAATTCTCTCCAAGATGATATGGTACAATAAAGACGTAAAATGTAGTAAGTCCATTAAAATTAGTCAAATGATTGCAAGAGGAGTCGTTCAAATAAAAGATATACACAACACCACTGAAAGACGGCTAATGACAGCTAGCGAGCTACAACTGCGCTTCCATATTTCGCATTTTATCGGCTGGAACAGTTTGCTCTTATCAATTCCAGCCCAATGGAAGCGAACCCTCGAGATGGAAAAACCGATAAACGACGACGAGCCGGAAATTTTAAGCGATATTAGTTCTATTCACAAGTGTGCCCAGTGGTCTTATCCAAAGCTTCTGAAATCAGTCCCAGTATCGGCACCAGAAACCGCCATAAGGAAATGGCAATCGGAATTAGTCCTGCCGTCACCTACGGTTTGGACCAATCTTTTTAAGAAGTTATACGTTAGTACCGCCGACTTTAGGCTCAGATGGCTTCAACTACGAATAATGCATCGTATTATCCCAACTAATAGCCGTTTGCACCTGTACGGAATCCTTCCCTCAGATAGCTGCGACCGTTGCCCAAGTTCACGCGAGTCTATCTTGCATTTGTTCTGGCTCTGTCCAGCAGTGTTGCGCTTTTGGGCCCAGTTGCGACAGCTGCTGAGGCTGCGAGATCCATTGTCGGCTCCGGCTGTACTGCTTGGTGTAAACCTGCCACACTGTCGCGGATCTGGGAATCAGTTATATATGATTGTGTTACTAGGGAAATGGTATATATGGCGATGCAGACTGAATAGCGCAGCACCGAACATGCAGGGGTTCGTGGGTATGTGTAGTGATTATATTCGGGTCGAGCGATATCATGCTTTAGTTACTAGCACAATGCATACATTTAACCAGGAATGGCACCAGCTGAGGGAAATGTTAAAAACAGCAAGCATCCGCCGTAGGTTAGTAGAGGTAGACAGGGACAACCTAGCGTGTGAACTGTTTATTGTAATTATGTGTGGGATTGGACACAATACGTGATATAATTGGCAACTGTTGAGTGTATGACCACGTGATGATTGATGTATAAATACACCCCCGGCGGAAGCCTGGGCAAACTGAAAAAAAAGACAGAGGCAAACGTCTTTCACGATTATTGCATAAAATTTAAAGCCTCGGTCACACTTAAACGGATTGGACCAACGGACGAGAAACGGACGAGAACTGTCAGCGTCCGGTGATGTCCGTTTGTTTCCGTTGGACGTCCGTTTGTCATCCATTAATATCCGTTCCATGTCCGGTGGTGTCCGGTTGAGCACACCGGACACCACCGGACATGGAACAGATATTAACGGATGAGAAACGGACGTCCAACGGAAATGAACGGACATCCCCCGAACATCACCGGACGCCGTCCGTTTCTCGTCCTTTAGTCCAATCCGGTGAAGTGTGACCGGGGCTTAACCTACGGCTGTCTCAAGACACCGGGAATGGTGATGGTATGAGGCGGGCAACGACGATCAAGTTCTTACTTTTAATAAATCAACAATGTAGTAGGGCCTCTGTCTCTGTCTGTATCACAATGTTACCTATGTCGTGATGTAAAATGTGAAAACTTCGATTTTTCAGAAAATTACTGGTGGGGCAAATCTTTGAGGCTGGTGGGCCATTTCGGGTCACTGGTGGGCCATTTGGCCCACCAGTTAACATGTTAGCCAGTGAGTTCCACGCATGTCGACATATTTATCTGCACGTTTCTAGGCTTTTTGTGATAGAAAACGAACCAACATGTGTCATGACCAGGGCCGACATGATCATATCACATGTTGGATCAGGGGCCGAACGGCTGTAGGGCGGGTTACTACGATCCCCCATACCTACTTAAGAAGCTATGAAACGGCCAATACGGGCGGGGTTAAAATTTGATACCCGCTTTCCAGTCACTGCGTCTCGTAACGGCGCACACGCTTTTTGCGAAGATCTAGCTAAAATAATCAGGAGCGAAACGACGACAGGGTTTGCACCCGCTGCCCTCTGGCCGGATCACATGTATAACACTAAAAGGTGACTAAAATATCGGGAAGCTTCACTATCAATTTATCAAAGGTATGAACTAGTGATGTCAATTACGGAAAATCGTGATACCGATACCAAACCAAATACAAACAATACCCATGGAAAAATACTGAAACCTAACCGACTTGGGAACATGAGGGAAATACCAATTTTTACCAAACTCACAGACTCATTTACATTAGATACATTAGAGATCATTAGATTGATAGATATTACATTAGATACTCATTTACATTAGATACTCACTTTTAGTGATGTCAATTTCAGAAATTTTGGAAACCAATACCAAACCGATACCGACCAAAACCACTGAGAGTATACCAAAACCGAACCGATTTTCAGAAACAGGGGGAAATACCGACTAGATACCGAAATCAGGGAATTATCTTCAAACTTTCTCAAGACATATGATAAGCCTTGAAAGGCACCTAAAACTTTGAAATAAGGTAACAAAAACAAATCAGGCAGTCTCTTAATTATTTGCATTGCAAAAAAACATTTATAACTTATTTTGTAACTATTAACAAATATTCAGGTCAGTCATTTTACTGGAATGTGGATTCAAGTCAACTGCATGAGGTGTTTGGAAAATAACTTGAACCCTGAATCTTGTCCATGCCTGAACCATCAAACATTCTTTCAATTCAAGTCATTCATTTCCAGTCCGGTCAAGACAGGGTTAAGTGTGTTATCATGATCCAAAAGTGGTGACCCAATTGACAATGATGGGCTACACCTTGGGCTGGCTACACCATTAATGTAAACAAAGCCCATGATACCTAAGGCCTGGTCGGAATCGGCTGCTGTGCTGTTGTCAGCTGAGATCCAAGCCCCTGATTGGTTGAGATATTGATGACGTATAACGCCTTCCCGCGCTGTGACGTCATACCTCTGCTGACAGCCGGCTTTTCGGCTGCTGGGAGAAGGCAGCAGCACGTCAGCCGAAATTCAAAGTGGCTCGAAAGTGGCGCATGTAAGTCAAAGCGCAGCTTTATAGTGCAGGTGGTTATTTTTTATATACTAGTTTTTGACGTATTTTGTATTAAATATTTTTCGCGAAAGATAGCAATTATTTCTTTTTCATGGCGCAATGTGCGAGTCAGCCTGAAAACAGTACCTACAAATCGAAATGCCAGCACCGCCTCAATTATCAATCCTGTAATTTTTTCTACAGCCTCGGCAAATAAACCTCAGAAATATAATGTAACGACTAACGGAAGATAGTCGTTGAAAAAAGCGCGAAAATGCTACCTCTCCTCAAGCCTCAACTCTCAACCCCTATGCTCAACCCTATCTGTCGAGCGCCATCTTAGCATCTCAGCGCCATCTGGGCTGACGTTTCCTGTCAGCCGATTATGAACAAGCCCGTCAGCAGCGTGGTGTGGGCGGGGCTTATTCTCGGCTGACAAAGTTCTGTCAGCCGATTCCGACCAGGCCTCTACAGTTAAACCCAAGTAGCATGGTGATTGGTGACGATACTGACGCAGCCAATTTTTCTTCATAAACAAATGTGTAACACAACAAAACTTGATAAATAATTACTTACGAGGCACACTGATAGATAGCAGACACCACTGTAATGATATCGCGATGAGATCTAAGTAAAATGTCCATAATTTTACGGAAGCATTGACACACGTCACGTGTCATCTCTTCCATAATGGCGGCCTTACAGGCGGCGGCCATTTGCATTAATGATTTAACTGTATAAAATAAAGTTTTTCTTTTCTTTTTTGCTTAAATCCACTTAAATCAAAATTCCTTGTATAAATTTTGACATCTTAAAATTAATTCAAGAAAGTTGTAGGCCACTTTTGCTGAGAAATGAAGTACCAGAAAAACATACTTGTTCAATTATTTTCAATTAGTTTTTGAGCTATATCGGTTCCTCAACCTGGCGCAGCTGAGACATTGAAATGTTTTTAGATGTGTTCAGTTTTGAAACTGCTGTGTGCGAGTCAAGCCAAAAGCCAATTATATTTTATGAGTGCTTATGATTAAATTGCTAGCGACCTGTATCTGTTGAGAGAGCAGGAAAGAGAACACTAATTGAAGAAAATAAATTATCCACAGGATCATGACAGCATCGCTCACTACAAGGCTTTTTGAAGTTGAGCGAAGTTGAAGATTTGTGGGGTGATGCGGGTGATGATGAAGTGACAAATGCTGCCTTAAATATTAAATGATAATGGTGAAGCTAGTGCTGTATTAAACAGGGTTTTGGATAATGTAATTGCATTGCAGTAAAATGGAGAGGAAGACAAGGTCAAGATCAATCACAGACTCCTCAAAGCAAAGTCAAATTTGTTGCTAATAAATGCTTTGGAAATTTTGAGAAAGGTAGTTTAAGTATGTTTTCCAGCATTCAGTGAGTTAAACATTAATTCATGTTTATGTCTTGCACATTGACTTTCTTTGTAGGATAATTATCCTCATGGCATTGGAATTTGCTAACACTGATATGTTGCCATTTAACATTGGTAGACTGATGTATTTGATATTACAGTTGATGTGTTTGCCCATTTGTTAGGACATCATGCATTTGGGAGAAATGTGTCATGATTGCCATTTTTCTTCATCCAGTGTCATTTAGCAAAATCAAATTTGAGTTCAGAAGGTTTATCAAAAATGCTTTCAAATATTTTATGACAGTAGTTGATTTTCATGATACCGACAAAATACCAAATGCTTTTGGTATATAATACCGAATACCGAATCGGTATTGGTTCGGTATCGGTATACCGAAATTTTGGTAACCGATTGACACCACTACTCACTTTACATTAGAGAGGATTCGTAACACCAACAAAATACCAACTGCATTCGCCATGAAATACCAAATACCAAGCTGGTATAAGTTTGGTATTGTTATACCAAAAAGTTGGTATCCGATTGACATCTCTAGTCTGAACCCTCGCCCGTATGGGGGGTGTCGAATGGACCCCCTTGGTTTTACGCGAATAACTCGCGTAAAAAGCGGCCGATTGCGACGAAACTTTCCGTACCCTCGAGTTAATTTATTTTTACACCTACCCTCAAAATTTCATGACCCTGACCCAAATGACCTTTGACCTGTGACCTATTTCTCGAGACCATGTTTCGCCGGAATCGCGATCCGGCGTATGTCGGCTGGCATTAGCCGGGCGTTTGCAGATTTTTGTGGTTGTAAGTGTTTAAACATGTAATATGATGCCGGTCCCCTGTATTAGGGTGGATCTCAAGGTCACCTGAAGGTCAGGCCACGTCATTGACCTTTGATGACCTCGGTTCACTTTTTCGAGTTGTAGCATGTTTCTAGGCTAGTTTTTGGAGCTGAATTCAAATTTAGCAAACATTTGAACATTTACGAAGTAGTTTTGGTATCTTCGTAACATGCTACGAAGCTGTCAGAGGCTGTTCACACGTGCTACGAATACCCGTCACGACCCCTACTGGTTGACCTGACCTGACCTGACCCGACCTGGCCTAAATGCATAAAGTCATCACCTGCAATCAAAACTTATATGATATTCGTGATCAGCACCCCGAAAAAAAAACATAGCAGCCACACTTAACGACGACGTTCTAACAAGTCCCGATTTTCAAGACTTTTGGGTCATTGACCTGACCTGGAAGGTCAATCGATGACCTAGGACCTTAACCCTCGCCGGCACAGGCCATTTTTAG